GAAAGCAGTGGGTTGGGGGTTTGGGGTGCGCTTTGCTTTCACAGGAGAGGGGAGAGAGTGGGTGTTCAGCTGGGGAGGGCTCAGAGCACTGGGGAGCCAGGCAGAGCCGGCCAGGAAACTTCTGTGCACATGACAAGGGAATGAAAAGTCGGAGGGAAATGGAGTTATAGCTTTTTTTTTTACTTTTTTTTTCAGGGCAGGGAGGAGGGCCCAAGAACTGGAACAGACAAAACGAAAAGACCCTTTTTCTCTTTTTTCTGCCAGTTCCTCCAAAACCATCCATACAACTGATGTTTCCAAGGGGTTGATTTATCCAGTCTGGGGCCGAGCTCAGACTGCACGTTTCCATCTGCCCAAGGTTAGGAAAAGCCTGATTTTCATCGACTTTCCTCCCCAGGCCAGCCACTCCCTTCCAACGCTGCCTGATAAACTGGCTTCAGATACAACCAGCTGCGTGGAAAGAGCAGCAGTGGCAAAAAACTGCAGTCCCTGTTTATCCAGCCTTGCTATTATGCACATGCAAATGGGTTTCCCTAGGAGCCACTGAGAGAAACTGGCTGTGACTTTGTTCCGGCAATACCAGCGAGGCTGTAACAGGTTGCAAGCAACCAACCCAGCAGCACGCAGGCGAGCTGCAGCATTTAGGAGCTGGAAGATTATCCCGAGGATTTTTTAGGCTGCCGTTGTACCCGGGCCTTTTGCATAGGAAGATGTCCAGCTGTGAGCAGGGCTCTGCGGACGGAGCCCGGAGCGATACACGACAACAAAACCCTGCAGCTTCTTGCAAAGTAAAAGCTGACCAAGCGCCGATCCATGTAGAAGGGAAGCCAAACCAGGCAGCAGTAAAACTATCTTTGCAAAAGACTTGTTATCTAAGCTGTAATTAAATAATCAGGAAAAATCACTGAACAGATCCGACATTTAGCGTAACCGTGGTATCAGAACACGGTTCCGGGCCTGGCACGCTGCCTAAATACTTGCCGGAGCTTTGGGGCTGAAGTTCAGCTTTTAGGTGCCATAGCAGCCTCAAAAACCTGCAGCCTCGGCCCCTCAGCACCCACCCAACGGCAGGCACCAGCTGCTGGTGCCACCCCGCAGCCTTTGCAGGAGCCAAACCCACCAAAGGGCGCCAGTGGGAGCCACAAAATGGACTCTGAGCTTTCGGATGAGCCCCAGGAATAAGTGCCTGAGCGGCGCCTGGCCACCAGTCTCCATTCCCTACAGCCCAGACTGTGAAGAGGGTCCTGCAGGAGCTGAAGGGCACTGGGAGGGGAAGCCCTGGCTCCTAGCTGCTACGTCTCTGTTTTGAGATGGGAGCTCTGACATCTTCAGCCCAGGGGAGTGTTTGTGGCTCAGGAGCCAGCACAGAGGGATACAGCGACTTCCCTCTGCATCTCATCTTCCCTGGCTGGAACATGCAACCTGTGAGCGGCTCCCTCTTCCCCAGTGACCGTCCCAACCCCCAGCTGAAGGCTCCTCTCTCTGGCCCAAGCCCATCTGTGACTTTGCCCTATGAAAATGAGAGCATCATACAGGACAGATTGTTCGCAGAAGCCACTTTTAATTTGGAGACAGGCAGCTTGGAGAACCTGTTCCTGGTACCACCTGAAGTCACCTCCTGGGAGGTGCAGAGTTGCCTCCATCAGTCGTCACTGCACAGGACTGCGACAGACCACCCGGCACTGTCCCCTGAGCTCCTGGCTGGGCTCGGCTTGTGTTTATAAACACAGAGAGTCTTTACTAGCTGAGTGCTCAGCGTTTTATTTCCCTTTTCTAACAATTCACCTCCTCGTCGCTCTACCACCATGGGTGGGAAGAGACCAGGCTTTCACGTTCATATTGCTAATCACGCTTGATCCCTGGAATTAACTGCCGGCACTAAGCACTAAATTAATGTCACACGGCATCCTTGGCAGGGGCCCTAGGACCTCTGTCGAAAGGTGCCCCGGCTCCAGCTGGGAAGGGTAAAGGCCATGCCCTCAAGGAAACGTTTCCAGCTGATCAGTTTTATGCTTTAAATGAAAAGCAGGCTGGGTGTTTTATGATCAACATTTTTCAAGGACGTGTTATTTGGGTTTCAGGACAGGTATGAATGCAACCTCACCAGTTTATAGGTGAGAAAGTTGTTTTTTTTCATGAGTACAAAGTACTGTTTCCTACTGTGTGATTGCCCAGGCCTTTCACCACCTGCCTGGCTTGCCCTGCTCTGAGGGCACCTTGGATGGTTCCTCCTGAGCCTTCTCCAGCTGAGGGGGCGTTCCCATAGGATTACCATTCCCAAAGCACACCAGCACCTGGGCGTGTGCTGGCCAACCTGCCTTCTGGGTGCCACTTCTTGAAGAAGGATCCCATAGGGACCAAAATGGGTGTTGCAGCAGGGACCTCACATGGTGGGAGCTGCAAGACAGAAGATCCCTCAGGCAGACCCGCTGTAGGACGACAGAGTAGTTGCAGGACCCTACCGCCAGTTACCCCAGTTCCTGAGCCCAGTTTTGGCACATGTGCAACACATTTGGGTCTGGCCTTCACTCGCCCATCTTGGTGCTTTATTTAAAGAGCTGTCACAGTGACTGAGGCCACAACAACTTGTTTTTAAAAAAAAAAATCTAGAAAAATGGAGTGAAGAGACATTCTGTCTGGCAAGAATTCATGTATATTTTAAATACTTCTTTTAACTGAAGAGTGGAAGCGAAGCCAAAAAAGCACATAAAACCCTCACACAGTGACTTTTCACCAGTTTTATTTGCAGGTTGGCATATTACAGTTCCTAGTTTTCTTGTGCTTGTGCCAGGCTCCAGATTACAGGGGGAAAAAAATATCTATATAACCCCTGCAAAGCTGTTTATTAGGTCTGAACAGCCCAAATACAGTACAGAGGAAAAAGGCAGGAGAGGAAAATAACATCTCTGTGTCTTTGGAGACTGCTTTTTATTCAGTGGCTGAAGCATCAACTCCCACCTCAAAATATTCCCTATTTCTATTCCCAGCAGTGTGGCTGGTGTTGAACTTTAATATTCAGATGCATCTGCTACCAGAGAAAATTAATTTTCAGCTCTAGGACGGCTCTTAAAGGGAGGCCACATTGACCTGAGTTGAAAATGATGGAGTCCTCACACTCTTTGCTGCAATATTTAATAGTTAATTAGATTACTGAGCCACTGTGACAGATGCTAGGCAACGCCTGAGGAGGAGAATTTGGAAAGGCCATTATCTTCCACTGCTGGGAAAGCTCTCAGAGATCTCATTTTAACCCTTTCCACTCTTGCCCTGCCCTCACTCCGGTCCAACCCATGTTAAAACCAGGTGTTTCACAAATCAAAGCCCAGCAAAATGCTCTGGATGCTTTTTTTTTTTTTTCCCCCACCTGAGAAAAGCAGGTGGTCACATTGGGCGAATGCCTGGCAGAGGTGCCAGGAGCTCCTCCTCGGTTCCCAGCTGGCATCAAAAGAGATGATCACTGGGAGATGCCAGTAATTTCACCCGCTGGGCGATTCCCAGGCGCACCAACCACACCAAGTGGGAAGCGGGGAAGTGAGAGGGTGCTAGAGGGTTTGGGCAGCATTCTTTCTTCCCTGTATTAAGTGAAGTGGATTTTGATGAGTCTATGGAAGAATTTCCCTCCACACAGTCCCCACCTTCCAAATAAAATGGTAAGCAAAGCTTGTCAATCCCACACTGACATGCAAGGGTTTCCCAGCTTCTTCAGCTAGCTGGGAGGTAGTCTCCAACCACCAAAGCAGCATTGTGTTTGTTGCTGGCACTGTGAAACCTGCAGATTGAGCTAGCAGAGATGTTATGGACTTCCTGGGAAGATGATGCTATCCAAGTGTTGCCTTATCAATAGCTGCTTTCACAATGCAAGGTGAGAAGAGTTTTTGGCCTTTGTCTGGCCAGCTGCATCTTGGCACAGATTGGTGAAGACATGCAAAGCTCTGTGTAGTGAAGCTGGTAACCAGACCAGCAACAAAGCATCCCACTGGGGAGGAGAGAGGAGGAACCCACAGTCCTGTCCCAGTGGCACTGCAATAGCACCTTCTCTGAGCAAGCGAGAACAGGAGCACCAGAAGGAGACAGGACATCATGAGTTTCCACCAATTATCTTAATTCTCACACACCCCAAAACACCGATAAACACATTCTTCGTCTGGTTACAAAACCCCTTCCCTCCCACTCAGGTCTCACACAGAAGTCTCAGAAGTTCTGATTGAACAAGCAACAGTCTGGATGTTAAATAAACACCAGGACCATCAAATGCACTGTGGCTTCTGAGCTTCTGCTACCCACTGAAATGTAAATACAGAGCACAAAAAGAGATCCAGGATTCATCAGCATCCCAAGCTGGTCACTTGCCTACATCTTCATCACCTCCAAATAAATCACCTAGATACCCAGCAAAGTATCGAACTACTGAGACTTTTTCCAAAGCACTTGTTGCCCTAGTATGCCCCAGGACTCATATGCAAGTACTTTTAGAAACGGTAATGCCCTCAACCGCATGGGGACAGGATGTATTCTATAGCGATAGCCATGAGAGCAGGTGTGGACACATCTGCCCTCCCCTCCCACCCACCCACAGAATGGTGATGCTGGCACGTCCAGCTAGCTTGAAGCAGAGGCAGAGGAGCTGTGGCCTGCTTGCAACCATCTATGTAGATGTATCTTTTCAGATACTGGGAGGATCATCTGGAAACAAGAGAAACCTGAGAGCTAGCCACGACTTACAACATGGCAGAGCTGATTACTTTTTCTGGCCCTTCATCCCACCTTTAAATGTGCCCTTCTCATAAAACGTGAGCAACCTGGAACCCGTGGCTTCAGCATGGTGCGTGGAGATGCAACTGCAGCGAGAAAGCAAGTTTCAGTTTAAGAGGAGGAGACCCTTACCTTACTGACCTCCTGGATACAAGCCCCCGAGCCCTGACCCCCATCATGACGGCAAGTGCTTCCAGGTGCTCACAAAAGCTGTGGGGATGAGTGAGTAAGGCACTGTTGTGATACAGTTCCATGTGTCTGACATAGGGTCGTAGCAGTCCAGCGTTTTGCATCTCTGAGTCCCAAAGTAACCCCCCACCACGTAGAGTTTATTCCCCGAAGCCAAAGCATGGCATGACATGCGCTTGGCTGTCATGTCCCCAATGCGTGTCCACTGGTCCGTTTCGCAGTCAAAGCGGTAGGCGGATGCTGCTGTGAACTCTGTGTCTCCCCCCATGATGAAAATCTGGCTGCCCAGGACAGCAGCTGCCGTGTAGCGCCAGGGCTGTGGGCATTCGGCTTTGATCATCCACCGATTCTCAGCTGGATCATAGCACTGGACTTTGGACACCATGTCTCGGTGAATGCTGGTCCCACCAAAGACAAAAAGCTTCAGCCTGGCGCTCACCACTGCAGCGTTGCTCACTCCATCTCTCAAAGGAGCCACCATCGTCCATTTGTTGGATATGGGATCATACTTCTCTACTTGCTTCAAGGAAACGGAGGGAGATGCAGGAAAGACTCCAGCTACTGCAGTGTGTCCACCAACCACATACAGGCAGTTTTCCAATTCAGCCGAGCCATGCCCAAACCGAGCTATTAACATTGGAGCAGCTTTTGACCATTCCTCATGGACAGTGTCATACACCCATACATCTTTTGAGACCCCATTCTCTGAGCCCCTGCCTCCAGTGATATATACCTTGCAGCCAATGGCACAGGCACTAAACTCCTTCCGTGGACTTGGCAGGTCTGCTTTGGGGATAATTTCCTTTGCTTTGTGATCCACTTGGTAAACCTTATCACACATGAAGGTCTGTCCTCCCAGGATCAGCAAGGTGTGCCCAGCTTTGCGAGGCCTGGCACAAGGACTGGTGACCACCCCATCATTCTGGAGGATCTTCTTCTTGCACTGAATAGCTTCATCCAAGACAAGCTTGTTCCTTTCATCCACCATGATCAAGTCCTCACAAGCCAAGGCTTCCTTGAGGCATTCAGAAGGAAGCAAGGCCAGACGAACGTTCCTCAGAAGTTCTGGGAGATAAGCCTTCCGCTCATCCAGATCATATTTCACCCACTGGATGACAGCCTTAAAGACCTTTTCTTCATCCTCAATTTCCAGCTCATCACTGGAGATGAGGTCCAGCAGAGTGTCCTTCGAAAGGTTGTTGAAGTCCTCACTCTTGTGAACAGTCTCAAAGTTGACCAGGCACATCCTCCAGGAGAGCTCGTAGAGCCGCCGGCACTGATGAGCATCCGAGAGCAGCATCATGCCCAGGCAGTTGGAAGGGTAGAGGTTCTTCTCCAGGAACTCAGCTGCCGCATCTCGGACGTCATGGAACTGCAGCATGTCCCCAGCCTCCAGGAGGGACTCGGCGTTCTCCTCATTGATGATGATCCGAGAGGAATAAGCAAAGTCCAGCAGCAGCTCCAGCACCTCCGGGTGGAGGCTGTCATGGAAGTTCACCTCATCATCCAGGCTCTCCCGGAGGCCGTTGCTAAACATGGCTTCAAAGTATCTGCTGGAGGCAGCCAGCACTGCCCGATGACATGGGAATGACCTGTTTCCTGCCCAAAGGGTGACATCGGTGAACATGCAGTGCTTCCGCAGGGTGTTCAGATGGGACAGGACACAGTCTGGGTGGGAAGCTTTGTGAAAAAGCAAGATGTTCATGGAGCCGGTGCTTGTCCGGGATTTACGGTTCTCGTGGACACTGACTGACATGATGACAGAGCTCTTGCCTGCAGAGGCGGGGGGGAAAAAAAAAACAACAGAAGCCCCATTATTCTTTTGTTCTTACTGATGTAAGGCACAGAGAATACATGCGATCCAACTCTGGGACATTTGAATGGACCTCAAATGTGAAATACCAGGTGACACCCCGGGGCTCCTACTCTGTGGCTGCTCCTGCACCCTGACTTGCAGAGCCTGTGCCTCCTGCACCCTCACATCTTTCAAAAATTTAACTCAGGCTGAGCAGGGCTGGAAGGCAGAGGGGGGTGAGGGAGGAAATTCTGCGCTATGGTTTCAGCAATGGAGCAAAAAAGTGAAGCAATCAAAATCAAAACTTGATGGGAAATTGTCTCAACAGCCCCTAGAGGGTATTGGCAAACCGCAGAAGAGTTATTTTTCCTTAGAAAACAGCATTGAGAGAGCATTCTATCCAGGATAAAGGGCACCGGTCTGTTCTTGGCTCAGCAGAAATCAAGTCTGGCTTCTGATTTTCAGGAAGATTATTGCAGATTTAGGAAAGACAATTGTGACTGGTTTTATTTATGGAATATTAGCAACCGGCACAAGCCAAAAGTTTTGAACAAATTTTACCAAACCCTTTCATTGTAGTTTTTGTTGATAAAACTCACCAGACACTTCATGTGACTTAAAACATTTTTCAGGACAGATTCACATCAGAGAAGACGACAAAAGAAACAGCTAAACTATGCTTTTTAACAGACAGGCAGAAGCAAACATAAGGCTTTTATTAGCTAATATTTCATTTAAGTGCTACCTGATACCTATCGTTGCCTGTGGAAGAGAAGCGCTTTGGACCAATCAAATTAATAGTACTTAGATGATAAAATCAAGTCATTTGCTCCAAAATATTTTAGCCAGATCTATTTTGTCCCCCATGTAACTAAAGCAGACAGACAGATATGCATACAGTCCCCTCTTACAGCAGAAAGTCAGTACTGAAGTTGGTAGCACAACTGTCCTGAGGTTTGAAAAATGAGCCTGAAAAATACAGAAAAATGGGGTCAGCCTGCTGTGCCTCCGCTACGGGCCCCTGCGACAGCAGACACAGCAAAGCCATCGCAGGCACTACACTAGTTGACATTCATTTTTCAGTAAAAGAGACTCTCCCTGGCTAAAAGTGGAGTTTGCAGGCAGGCAGCCCACTAAATGGACTAAAGACAGGGGCAAGTCACAGAGCTCGGGGGGGTCTGAGCAGTCCCAAGAGCGTTTCAGTGCTTAGGGCAGGGAGGACCCTGTTCGGATGCACAGGAGCACCAGGGGCTGCCGCCTTCAGCTCAGCTTCCCTGCCAACACAAGGCAGCCACGAGAAATGGCTACAAGCTGGGGAAAGTGTGCCTAGTTCACAGGAAAAAAGGGTTGCTCTGCTACACCTTCTCTCTCACCCAACACCATTTTTCTATCCCTTTTCTACACCCTCTTCCCCAAAACACTGCAGTTTTGCTTTGCAGGCTGGAGGCACAGGGGCTGAAGTCCCATGGCATCCCACTCCAGCCACGTAATTGTTTAGAAATCAGTAATTAGCCACACAGATATAGCTGCAGAAGGGTTTTTGGTTGGGTTCTTTTTGTTGGTGGTGGTTGGTTTTTTAACTTGCTCTTCACAGCCCGAGGTTTGTCAAGGATCTTTCTCCCCTGCACGCACAAGGTCTACAGGATCAGCCCTGTCCTCCTCAGCAAGGCTGAGCTCACCACCATCACCCCCACCCAGCACTCAGGGTCCTGAGGGAAACAACGAAACACCGAGAGCGCGGACGCTGCACTCCCAGGCTGCCGGCAGATCACAGCCTTGACCCGGCAGAGACCTGGAGCCACACAACCCTCCCACGCTCCACGGGTGGATGACCTCAAGAGGAGGCAGATGGCCAGATAAGCTGCCTGACTCGTGCTCTGCTCAGGCACTTCCTACCCCCTGCTTCTCCAGCACTTCCAAAAGAGTCCAAATTCAACAAATAGTTGTGGGCACGTCCCTCCTTCCCCACCCGCTGCCATGAATTATTGAGGTTGGTTTGCCCAAGGCCTCGCTCATTCCTCAGGGCTGTGTCGCAGTCCAGGGAAAAGGTCCCTTCGGGCTTCTCTGTCCAGAAACGATAGCTTGCCCAGTCAGCCACAACTCCTACTTGGTCTCCGAGCCGGGCAGGAGCATTGCCACGGGTATTCGGGTTGGAGATGCGCATGCTCCTCGCCAAAATCCCTGCAGCTTGGGGTTGACGCTGCCAAGCTCATTTCGATTGGGATCGGAGGCTGCACAGAATCAAGGCTCCAAAACAGGAAGGAAAAGGCCATTACGGAGCAGCGCTTTGAAGTGCATCTGAGGGAAATGGTTTCCTACATCTACACCCAGTGCAGGGACAACACTAATTTAAGAGGCTATATGGATTCCCATGTCAAAGCTCCATAACGTCGAAGTGAGGAATACAAATGAAACATTTATGAGTCTGCTAAAAGCTATTGATTTAGGTTCCTATTCCTACAACCCCAGAAACCACCCTGCCATTGCTACTGTTTTCTTTGCTCGCAGCTCAGGTCAGCTATTCAGTGTTAGCCTTTGATTTGCTTAGGCACAAAAAATTATGCAATTTATACAGGACAGCTATGGAAACAAACAAAAAGATTGCAGGAAGGCAGCATCATTTTTTCTGACACTAAGATTAGAAAAGCCACTACTCAGAATGGAAGGAGCAGGTCATTTAGAAATGAAAAATGTCTATATAAAAGCTGCAGCAGAGCCACTTTAAATTATATATACACACATATAGGTATACAGACACACACACATATATACATATGTAAAATCACAGGCTTCTTCTAACAGCAAACACCTTGCTCAGGGCACTGGGTAACCAAATAATATTTCTATCCAACAGGTACTGAACAGCATCCAGGGAATAAATTGGCAGGTTCCAGTCCAGTCCCCATTAGCACTGCTCTTCATATCACCTTGTCCCACTACAGGCACCAACAGTACAGCTGTAAGACTGAAATCTAAAGAGGCCACAGCCCCTTAACTTGGCCTCTCCTGGAGCCAGGTTATGACACTGGATGTCACTGGTCACAGATCAGCAGGGCTAGACAGACCAGTAAACTGAAACTAAAGCAGCCACTGAACTCTGGTGTGCAGCCATCTCACCAGCAAGTCTTGCTTGTGGTTTTCAGCAACTTCCAAACAGCTTGTTTTGAGGGCTTCTTGAATCCTACCATAGCTGGGCACAAGCAGAAAAGTGGCAGGTACTAATTCTTCCCCTCACAAACACACCCCACTGCATCTCTTAGTCTACCAGAGAACTTGGCATCATCCCACCCATATCAGATGAACAGAAACTGCAGGCAGCAGCTATTTCATCTGATGGGCTTCTTCCAAAATCTAGCAGCCTTATAAATCTCAGAAGCCTGTAAATAAAAGGACCTTCAACACTTTTCATGATGTGCATGAATGTATGCTTCAATTTAAGCAATATTTAACTGCAGCAATGAGCAGGCTGGCCCCATGACATGTGCTCTTACAGGCACTTCTTGGAAGCAGATGCATGCAGAGCAGAATTTTGCCCCTACCACATTCCTCGCTTCCCTTACCCAGCTACTGAGCTAAAGAGAAAAAACAGAACCACTCAGAATGAGGAATATTTTACACAAAGAAACCTGTCAGTGGCTCCTGCCAAGCTCCCACCTACTCTGTGAGAGCTCAGGGGGTTATCGGAGCTCCCAGCTGCGTCTTCCATCACACAGGTAGCTATCACTAGAACAGACGTGTCTACACAAATAGCAGAAGGCATGACCTGAACAAACTGGGTCTTGGATTTCTCCATGCTGCATTCATTTTTTTTTCCTTTGAAAGGCAGTTATTGAAAAAATAAGTATCTACTGCATAGCCTTTTAGAAGGATCTTACTGCATGCAGAGGCAGATGATAACCCTTCCTCCATATGGACGAGGGCAGAGGGACATCAGCTTTTTGACAGCTATCCAACGCTGTCTTCTGGCTGTAGTATTCCCACAGCTGTCTGCAGCCTTTGTACAGCAGGTATAGGAAAGACTTTTTTTTTTCCAGCAAAGCAAGATGAAGGTGCTTTGGAAATCCTTCCACTCACCCACACAGGGCAGACAGCAACGCCAAAGGAGGGTAGGAGTTGGCTCAGGAAGGAAACACCCCTCAAATCTCAGCTTATGAAGAAAACACCCCAGCAGTCTCTCTGGACAGGACAAAGCTGGCAAAGAGAACAAGGGGAAAACCAAAACCACAGAGCTGGCCAAACTCCCTACCTGAACAACAGCCACCGTCCTCCTGTCCGCGTGCCTCTTGGTTCCTACAAACCATGCCCCAGCAGAAGGCTGTCCCTCCCAGGCTGGTGGGTCACCATGTTGAAGCCCTGCTTTAGGGAGTTGGTATGGGTCATTTAGGAGAACCTCAGGAATCACTCTATTACCTCTTGAAAAACCCAAGCAGCACTTAGAAATTTAATACTTCAAAGCTGTATCAGCCTCCAGTCTCCAATCACAAAAGAAATGCGTAAGAGAGAGGACAGCTCAGAAGGACTATTGATGCATGGACTATATTTAGCTAGGCTTGGGGTTACCCCCTCCATCTTAAACCAGCAGGCTGTCCCCAAATCTCCAATTTCATTCACCATCTACCAGGAATTGCCAGCTGAGCTGCTGCTTCCTTTCAAGAGGACAATATTTGAGAGTGAATAAGATGCTCCCCAGTGGGACTTCAGGGGGTCAAGAATCATTTCTGCTTAGAAGGGCAAAACTACAGGATTTATAAGTGTTCTCCCAAGACCGTGAAGGTTGGGTAAACACCAACAAAGAGCCCAAATCCCATGACCTGAAGCTGGTGCTTTCTGTTTGCCAATCAGACTTTCAGAGAAGCAGCAAGCAGAACACGTTTCTTTTTGCCCCACTCAACCATGAACTATTTAAAGCTGTAAATAAGTAAATAAATAAGCAGTAAGGTTCCCTGCTGGCTCAGTTCAGC